TAATATAATAAAATTTAAGAGAAAATATAATAAATATATAATAAAAATTGTTAATAAAATTCAACTAATAAAAATTTTCTAATAAAATATATATAATCTAAATAAATTTACTAATAAAATTTGCTAATATAACAATATCATGACAACTGTGTATAATTTGATAGATCAACAGATCTGTAGTTTTAGTTATACCAGCTTGTACTAAGAGGCTGTTGAATATTAATGTAATGTATAAATTATATAAAACTCAAGTAAAGCAGCTAGGTAAATCTAAAGGCTAGGTATATGAAAGTCTGCATAGCAAGTTTCAAGTAGAGAAGCAGTGCAGACTTTCAATAGTACTACATAAAGAATCATCAACTGAAGAACCAAAAAACTGGATAGGACCAAGGTGTTTGGCAAAAGCATTATACCAACCAGGTTGTTAGACAACCAAAAGAAGAGATCACTCTTTCAAATTATCTGAATTGAGAGTTTGAGAAAACTGAAAAAATGGTAAATAGTCTGTATAGTAGGTGCTGAAGTTTGGGTGAACTCTACATAAGCAAAAGTAGGTAATGATAGCAGCTTCAGCTTGCAAGTACTTGTCCTCAGACTTGACATAAGTTATCAAAGTCTAGGTTAGCTAAATTGCAGATACAGAAAGCTCTAGTAACGATATCTTGAGGATAAATTAGTCCTAAGAAAATAGAGAAAGCATTTGAGACTTCTTAACTAACAAATATAACAGAGATATATTAGTGATACAAATAGGTTGTGTTACAAAGAATTTAAATACTGTATAGTACTAACTAAAGTATCTACCTTATGTGTAATACCCCTTACCATTTATAGAAAAGATCTGTCTAAAATACCTGGATATATGTAGTTTATTTAATTCTATACTTGGTTAATAATACATACATTGTGTTATACTTATACTACGTATTGTAAAAAAATCTACTTCAGAACGGTAAAGCTTTTATGAATGGCCTTTGAAAATTTTGCCAATATTCTAAAGAAAAATATAGAACTATAAAATAAAAAAAAACTATTGTAAATTTATGAAACTAATACCCAATCATTTTTAACCGTAGTTTCTTCACTATAGATATTATCAATATCTTCTGTTTCAACCCAAGCATGTTCTTTGTTAGTAAGATCTATTAATTCAAAATCATTTGCCAATTCACCAATATAATCTTCAGTTTCCATTTCATATGGCTGTTTCATATTAACATCTTGATCACTAGAAATTCCACAACAGCTAAACGATTTTTTAATTAAATTAATATCAACACCATCCCACATATTTCTTACCCATGTTGCCATCAAAGAATAAGATAGTTGTTTAATTCTTTCAGAAGGTGTAAGCTTATATACTTCATTAGCTATTCATTCAAGATACAGATTACAAAGCTTTGCTTTAAAAGAATGATTTATCATAACATCTAATGGTTGAAGTTTACTTGTTAAACCACCAGGTATTACTGCTATATCAGTCATATTTTCACTAAAAATTTTTTTAGCCAGTTCAGTAATATGACCTCTGAAAGAATCTAATACTAAGAGTGAATATTCATGTCTATACATATTTTGAGCAAACTATACTTTGTTTGTTCACCAAATCATTTTTGTTCATTGCATCATTCTTTTTCATTTATACGAATATGGATGCCTGAAGGAAATTGTTAACAGGGTATATTTTTTAATTTAAATATACAAGTTGCTGACAATTTTGTACCATCTGCTAAGCAACCTAAGATTATGGTAAATTTGATTTTTCATGCCCAGTAGTTCTTATACTAACAGTTTTAGCACCATATTCATCTAGAGTAATAGTATTTGGCAAGTCAAAAGTAACAAGAGTTTCGTCCATATTACTGATTAATCTTAATGGATAATTATTTTCATATTGTTTAAGTGCAACATAACTTAAGAATTGTTGCTGTTTTTTAATTAGATCCACAGAAAGATGTTAAGCAATATTAATTCTGCACCTGTTTGAAAGATTATAATAAAATATAAATGCATCAAGCCATTTACAAAAAAAACCAAACTGGTTTATATTAGGATACAAAATTTGGAATCTAGATTGTTAAGCAAAACTTTTTGCCTTTTGAGTAACCATTATATGAGTTACCACATTACGTTGGTCTCAAGTTTCTTTTATTTAAGCTGCCAAATCTTCTTCAAGCTTAGGAAAATTAGCTTTTTTTCTAGGATGTAATTTTTCAATATGTGAAGCAGCCATAATTAGTTGATCTTTAATTTTTCTCTATTCATAAACTTGTTTATGTTGAATATTAAACTTTCTTGCTATACTACGTACACTTTTAGATTGCTTAAGGTAATGAATGATCATAAGTTTTTCTTTTGCAGACCATTGATGATGAATATGATGTGTAAAGCGTGAACGCCGTGCTGGTTGATTTGCATAAACCATTTTTTATTTACAGAACTAAATTATCAAAGCAATCTTTTTAAATATTTTTATGAATCATATTATAATTAAAGTACTTGCGAATATTAAAAATTATTGTCTGGTGCAAAAAGGTAGATACACCAGTATGTCTATAATAAAAAAATTTTTTTTTAATATTAATATAAATATTTAATTTTTTTATTTTATTACTTAGGTCTTAAGATTATTTCAATATAATTTTT